ATATATATATATATATACACACACACACATATACACACATACATGGTTTGAAGCAGGGCAGTGTGATGCCTCCAGTTTGTTCTTTTTGCTTACGACTGTCTTGGCTATTTGGGCTCCTTTTTTTGGTTCCGTACGAATTTTTAAATAGGTTTTTCTAGTTTTGTGTAGAATGTCAAAGGTAGTTTAATGGGAATAGCACTGAATCTATAAATTGCTTTGGGCAGTATAGCCATTTTTATGATAGTGATTCTTCCTATCCATGAGCATGGGACGTGTGGTGGCTCAGGCCTGTAATCCCAGCACTTTAAGAGCCCGAGGTGGGTGGATCATTTGAGGTCAGGCGTTCAAGACCAGCCTGGCCAAAATGGTGAAACCCCGCCTCTTCTAAAAATACAAAAATTAGCTGGGCATGGTTACAGGCACCTGTAGTCCCAGCTACTTGGGAAAGTGAGGTAGGAGAATTGCTTGAACTTGGGAGGTGGAGGTTGCAGTGAGCCGAGATTGTGCCACTGCACTCCAGCCTGGGCAACAGAGCAAGACTCTGTCTCAAAGAAATAAAAAAGACCATGACAGCTATATCCAGGGTGCCAGAAATGCTTCATAATGATAATGTGTTGTTTTTGCTCCTTAATATCGAAGTCAATTTGGTTTTCCTTTAGTGGGGAAGGATTGGTACTCATTCTCTCTGCCCACCACTTTATGTTGTAAATTATAGCATCCAATTAAAAGAGAGTACTTGGCAGAAATGCATCAGCATTAAGCAAACTGAATTGTGTAGGACTTGGATTACTCAACCTAAGTATTATCAGTTCATAATGACACCTGATTTAGACCAGAACCAAGTATTATATACTGTCAAAGGACTTTGTTTTTTTTGTTTTTAATCTCATTTACCTTAAAATCATTAATGTGTAGAAATTCATCAATGATAGATTTGGACTTCCTCTCCATTTCCTCTTCTGATAATGCAGCCTTGTCAGGAGCTGACACTGCTGAAATTTCTGGTTTTGCTATTAGAGAGGCCCCCCCGCAAAAAAAAGTAAAAATAATAAAAATTACTATTAAAATAGTGAGATTATGGTTGACAATATTATGTACTTTACATTATTTTTACAGTAAAGGCATTTAATAGCTACAAGACAATAGATACAAGACATTTAAACAGAATACAGAAACCTTTTGTTTTAGAATAGATTTGCACTAACTAACTTTATAATCTACAATAACAATGAACAAGATTTAGGAACATGATAAACTTTCCTATTTAAAGCTTTTTTGTTCCTTTCTGTATTATGATTGTTCCCCATTGCTTCGAAGATGAAGAGTTCATGAGGTCTTCACAATCCTGCACAGGTCAGGGCCCTGCTTGCTACTAAGCCTGAGCCACACTGCTGCTTGAACAAATCGTGGCTATTCCTACTACAGCTTTGCTCATAGTAATCCTGTCTGGAGTGCTCTTTTCCTCTGCTTCACACCCATCCCTGTCTACAAACCTGCTTCATTCCCATGGGTCCTTCAGATAAAGGAAACCTCCCCTTGCCCTAATTCTACATAGCTCCTTGGTACCAGATAGTTCTAAGTATTCTCTTAGAACTAAATTCCTTTCTTCATAGCACCTTTCTCAGTTTGTGTCTTTTGTGGAATTACTAAAAAAGGTCTTTCTGACTCAGCAGACTGAAGGCCGAGAACAGGGATCAAGTGCCTCACACTTACTGTGCATCTGGTAAATGTACAAATGAATCAGATGATAAAAACACATAGAGCAGCTGTGCTACGTTATTCACTACACACAAGATATTTTAATATCCTATCTTGTTATATTTCAAAAGTATCTACCACAGATTTAAAAAAGTCACACGTCCCTAAAGCTGTATTATCTAAAGTTACACCAATTGGGAGAAGACACTTTAATTTGTCTCTGAGATCCATTTAGGGACTACAGTTAAGAGAAACAATTTAAAGAGTGAAACAAATTAGAAAGCTATATAAATACTAAAAACAACTGGAATTACTTCATGACAAATATTTAAAAGAGGCTGAAAATAATCTTCAATTTAAACTGTTTTCCATTGCTATATTCGTCATCACAACATTTAATACTTTTTGAAAACCTTGTATTTATCAGGTAATGTTCTAAGTATTTACATGTATTAACTTCTTATTTAATTTTCATAATATCCTGAAAAGGTAGGTACAACTTATCCCCATTTAACAGATAAGGAAACTGAAACACAGGTTAAATACATGAAGCAAGTTTTAGAGCATTATCTGAGCAAGTCCTCTAAGCATATACATGCTAAATGCATACAAAAAACAACAGGTTACCAAGGAAGATGAAGGCAACTAAAGATAACCTAATACCTTCTCTTTGGTTTGTCTTGCAGTGGCTCAGTAATGAGAATTTTCACACATTTGAGGGGCTCTACACAGCATACACAATCTAACAGCAACGTAAAGTGTGGGATGCTACAGGGACTTGTAAGAAATTCAGATTGCTTAAAATACAGCAGGAGGACCTCCTCACCATAACATTTAATAAAGAATGGAGAAAATTTACAAACTGTCGAGCTAAGGCATACCTAGGGAATGAGAACAGTTATAAAACTATGAAGTGCCCTTTCACTCTTCAGATGCTGGTATGTGTTGCTATTATATGTTGATTCTAAAATCTACTCAGGCAGTCTCCTTTTTATTTTTCCTTCCAAATTTAAAACCCAAATCAGTATCTGCATCTGTTTAAGCCAAGTCTCTCACCTGACTCCCTTGTTTTATTTCGCTCGGCCTCAGTGCTGTTCCTCTCCACATCCACAGCCCCTGTGAGCTGCTTCACGGTCTCCAGCATCTCTCTCCGCTGCTCTTCTTGAGACTGATTGTCTAGCAGGTCTTTACTGCTGCCACCCCTCATGAAAGTATTTGGCCGAGCTGTTGCAGATGGAAGGGGCTTATCATTCTTCTCCCTGCCCATACTTCCACGACTTAAAAGACAAAACAACACTTTTCAAAGGAAAGACAAGCCCATGTCCCCCACATATTCAAATTATAAAATAACACTAAGACTTTCTGAAAGTATGCAGAATAATTTTTCACAGATAACATTAGATGTGTGAGGCACCAACTATATTTCAAAGTCTGCTTATTCAACAAACAAGTAAAAGAGTACTTTAAAGGGAATATTTATTAAGATGTTTTAACTTTTTTCTCTGAAGCGATACTACTTAATACTTTAAAATGTCAGTGGTGGCCAAGCATGGTGGCTCACACCTGTAATCCCAGCACTTTGGGAGGCCGAGCAGGGCAGATCACTTGAGGTCAGGAGTTCAAGACCAGCCTGGTTAACATGGTGAAACCGTGTCTCTACTAAAAATACAAAAATTAGCCGGATTTGGTGCCGGGTGCTTGTAATCCCAGTTACTTGGGAGGCTGAGGTACGAGAATTGCCTGAAACTGCGAGGAGGAAGTTGCAGTGAGCCAAGATTGCACCACCACACTCTAGCCTGGGCGACGGTGAGACTCTGTCTCAAAAAAAAGTCAGTGATAATTTTGGTAATTTCTTTTTCTTTTCTTTTTTGAGATGGAGTTTTACTCTTGTTGCCCAGGCTGGAGTGCAATGGAGTGATCTCGGCTTACTATAACCTCTGCCTCCCGGGTTCAAGTGATTCTCTTGCCTCAGCCTCCTGAGTAGCTGGGATTACAGGCATGCACCACCATGCCTGGCTAATTCTGTATTTTTAGTAGAGACAGGGTTTCTCCATGGTGGTCAGACTGGTCTCGAACTCCCGACCTCAGGTGATCTGCCCACCTTGGCCTCCCAAACTGCTGGGATTACAGGCGTGAGCCACCATGCCTGGTCTTAATTTTGGCAATTTCTTATTTTAGTTTTTAAAAATCTTTCAGGAAAAAAAAGACAATGATGAAAGTATGAGTTACATAAATGAAAGGGAAACAAATATTATAAGAACATGGTATCACTATCTTAGAAATTATACAATGGTACCTTTTTATTTAGAAACTTAAAACATACGGAAAATATTTGAGAATCAAGTAAAAGCTGTCTTAGATTAGCTAACGCCATATATTTTATTCCTTTTAAGAGAGACTCTCCATATTTCCTGATTTCGTCTTCTTTTAGACAATTTTAACCAGCTGGGCAAACAGTTTGTTGGCCCATGGTAGACCAGAAGCAGCAAATTAAAAGGGAAAAGGAGAGACTCAGGCAGGAGAATGGTCTAACTATTGTGAAAGAACATATACAAGTGCTTAGGAAGCAGAACCATTAGGGGACATTTATGAGAGCAAAGCGCCACAAGTGATACTCAATGACAATCTGAATCATCATGAAAAGCTGACTTGTGCTAAGTATACTTCGTTTCAGAAGAAGTCAAGGGATTAAGTAACACAGTTTGCAAAGTCTACCTAATCAAACTTATTACAATAATAATAATAAAAAGCCTGATGGGAGGATCGCCTGAGACCACGAGTTCAATGCCAGCCTGGGCAACATAGCAAGATGCCATCTCTAAAAAATAATAATTAAAAAAAAAGTTTTAGAGCTTAAAGAAACTTCAGTTCTGAAAGTGCTTATGTAAAAAATGTTTTTTGTGACTGCACTACAGGGTCCCCATTCATGGTATGTAAACCAGCCAACAGAATACTTGACTGTAACAATCCTATAAAAGCAAAAGTAGAAAGATAGCGAAATATGGAGACTAGCAAAAAAAATGAAGGAAAACCTCAAATATAACGTGAAGAACACTGTGACAGAGAAATGTATGGGTGGATTGTCACGTTCTTTAATTCCCATAGTTGAGAATGCTAGATGCTTCTAGAGTATCTGGAGGATTAGCTTGGGGAGCCCCTAGACATGCCTCCAGCGCTGTTTGGGTGGGCCTAGTTTTCTTAAGAATCCCTTCCCTCCCAGCCAGGCACAGTGGCTCACGCCTGTAATCCCAGCACTTTGGGAGGCCGAGGAGGGCAGATCACAAGGTCAGGAGATGATCAAGATCATCCCGGCTAACACGGTGAAACCCCGTCTCTACTGAAAGTACAAAAAAGTAGCCGGGTGTGGTGGCCGGTGCCTGAAGTCCCAGCTACTCGGGAAGCTAAGGCAGGAGAATGGCGTGAACCCAGGAGGTGGAGCTTGCAGTGAGCCAAAATCATGCCACTGCACTCCAGCCTGGGCGACAGTACAAGACCCCATCTCAAAAAAAGAAAAAAAAAAAAGAATCCCTTCCCTCCCATCCCATCCCAAATCCACCACCCAATTATGTTCCTATCTTAGAAATTATAGTGTGTGTGAAGATTAAAGAAGGAAATCAACTTTAGGAATAAAAGGAATGCATCTATAAGGATTACTATCAGAATCCTTGTTCCTATCTTGCCACACATACTGGCAAGCAGGCTGGCCTTGGGTAGACATAAAAAGCAGGGTTCTCACCTAGTTATGGTCCTTCGGGAATCAAACTCTACAGGCGTGGATGGCGTGGACCCTGAGGGTGCTGGAGGTTGCAGGGCAGAGAATCTGTTTAAACTGGAAGCACTTGACCGTAAGGCATCTACACATGTCAAGGATTTAGAAAAAAATACAAATCACATGACTAAAATGCAAATAATCAGTCATCTGCATCCCTGGGTGAGGCCTGAGACCAGGCATTCCTAACAAGCTTAGGTGATGCCAATCTCCTGGTCCCTCTACCATATTCTGAGAAGCAAAGTGTTAGAAGGAATTTGCATGTAACAGAGTTTAGAAGTCTTCATTTATTACAACCATTCGTTCCTTTAAGAACATAGTAAACGGGTGGGAGTGGCAAATAGAGGAAGAAGGCAAGCAAAAACAGAATAAAACTTTAACAAAGCTAACCAACACAAATGCTTCAATCTCATGTGTGTACAAATAAGCATGTGGGTTTTACTGAATAATGACATTTTTTAAAATTTAAAGAAAAAAGGCTGAAATTACTTAGTAGAAGGGACATATGGGAAGTAGGTTAACACTGAATTTTTTTGTTCTTTCCATTGGGCTTCCTCAGTTAATAGGATGTGTTTCTGATGATCCAAACATCTTTGGAGTTCAGGTCAAATCTCTCAAAATCTGATTTTCAAAAAAGATTTTGAACAATATTTCTTTATTCTTTTATAACTCCCTAAAATTACAGTAAATACACCTGCATATTAAGATTCTTTCCTCAACATAATGAGTTTCCCTTTTAATTTGAGGTCCCAGTAGTTTCTCTAGCTATATTAAATTTGTCAACAACTACAAAAAGGAACCTAAAAAATTAAGGTCTTAGTGGCTGAGTGTGGCTCATAACTGTAATCCCAGCACTCAGGAGGCCAAGGTGGGAGGATCACTGGAGCCCAGGAGTGCAAGACTAGCCTAGACAACACAGTGAGACTCCATCTCTACCAAAAAAAAAAAAAAAAAAAAAAATCAGTCAGGTGTGATGGCGTGTGCCGGTAGTCCCAGCTACTCAGGAGACTGAGGCAGGAAGATTGCTTGAACCTAGGAGGTTGAGGCTGTGGTGAGCTGTGATCATGCCACTACACTCCAGCCTGGGTGACACAGCAGGATCCAATCTCAAATAAATAAATAAATAAAATAAAAATAAATCAATAAACAAAGGTCTTAATTAGCCTAAATGAATGAACTGAAATTTTTTTTTTTAATGCTTAAAATTATTTAAGGATCCTGAGAAAGGATCTATGTTGAAAGGAAAGGGCTACCAATAAAATTTTAGGCATGATTAGTCTACACATCTTTCCCTAAAACCATCATTCGATGACTATGGGAATGTGCTGTGAGGCGAATGCTAACAAGCCACAGCCAGGTTTGAGGAGGGACACTGCACACTTACCAGTCTCGCTTGCCTTTGCTCCACCACTGCTGCCTTTTCCCCAGCTGCCTAGCTGTGCTTTAGGTACCAGCTGAATTTTTTCATCAATTGTAGGCTGTAACATAAGAGACCACAAGTCAGTTATAGGAAATATTCTAGAAGAATAGTTTTTCTTTTATTTTTTTTCTTCTTCAGTGAAGTAGAACCAATTATAGCAACAAAAAATTTGTTTGGAATGCCAATTTAATAGAAACAGAAATTGGAGCTGTTCTCATTAAACTGGGATCCATGTGGCCCCTGAAGCACTTCCTTGGACTCCAGTTTCTATAAAATACTGTTTGGTCTAGAGAATGCATCCAGGTCCTCCTATTTAAGATGGTTTATGAATTTGCTAACTGTAATAAGCAGTTTCTAATCATTCTTCTTGTACACTACCCATTAATTTTAAAAAGAAAAAAATACAAATACCACAAAATTAATTCATTAGTATCTTTACATGACTGTCAGAACACAGATCAACAGACACAAAAATTTCATGTTGGGGCTAGAGATAGGCAGTGGGATGTGAGTATTCAACAAAGAATAAGAAGAAAGACATTTGAATGTTGGGCAGGGAGCGTAGGAAGTTAAGGTGCCTGATATCTCATGTTTAATCTTCCAAGCACACCTTTACTACAAGTGAAATAAAATTACGCTGTATGCATTATATTATTATAAAATAAATATAACATAAAAGCTGTAATGTAGCTCTTTGTAAAAAAGATATTTCTATGTTCTGACAGCTCATAATATGTTGCTATGCTATATAATGTGCTTTCACACAAACCTCTCCCAATTAACAATAAATATGTTTAATGGTTTTGTTCTAGGATACTCATGTATAGTATCTCCAGTATAACTATCTGAATACACAAAGTTTATTAACAATTTACATACTTAAAAATATTAAAGTAGTAATGTTGGAGATTTGATACCAGCATTGTTTTTATAGTATCCAAGCACGGAAAACATAATATTTAAAAATACAAATGTTGTTATTAAATACTGACACATTTTTCAAAATGCTGGAGGATTTCTTTAAACATAAACTTTTGGTTAAAACTGTCTCTAGATGGAAGTGGAGACGGTAAGACTCAAACTGTATTCAGCAATGGAATTCTTGCTCTGAGATATAAACAACTAGAAGAAAGTACCAGAATCTTGGAGAAAAGGATCCTAGCTAACTATATTATTAAGAGAGATCCAGAGGGAGAATTTTCTATCATGAAGCAAAGCTTCGACAAAACTATGAGATGCAAATGATATAGCCCATTTTATTCCAATTTTCTTTTTTTTTTTTTTTTTTTGAGACGGAGTCTCGCTCTGTAGCCCAGGCTGAAGTGCAGTGGCTGGATCTCAGCTCGCTGCAAGCTCCACCTCCCAGGTTTATGCCATTCTCCTGCCTCAGCCTCCCGAGTAGCTGGGACTACAGGCACCCGCCACCTCGCCCGGCTAGTTTTTTGTATTTTTTAGTAGAGACGGGGTTTCACCGTGTTAGCCAGGATGGTCTCGATCTCCTGACCTCGTGATCCGCCCGTCTCGGCCTCCCAAAGTGCTGGGATTACAGGCTTGAGCCACCGCGCCCGGCCTATTCCAATTTTCTTAAAGATTTTTCTTAATACTTCTTGTCAGTTATCTTCTTTCATGTAGTATTTTCACATTAGTTTTGACTGTCTTCAGTATTTTGCTAGCAGGGTGCCAATTTTCAGAACTATGGAAAGTATAAGGATCAAACTAGACTTGCAAATTGGAAAACCCACTGGACTTTAGAAGTTTCCACTCTTATCATATTTAATACTGCTTTCTCTACATTCTCCAAAGTTCTTCATTCTACTTACATGATCAACTTTTACTGCTGAAAATATCTGCTAGAGAGTTTTTTCCTCTTACTGCCCACAGACTCAAAAGAGAGGAAAGCAGAGTCTATTAAATCCTTATTACAGAATGATTTCTAGTAGGCCCTCTGTGGTTTCCTTTAGGCCTTGGATAAGGCAAATCTTTCACGGTAAGGTTTAAACAGGTGACTGCTTTTTTTCCCCAGAGCTATGGATACATTGTGTAAAAGCCTGCAATTGACTTAGGCTTCTAAAATATCTTTATTACCTCTCCTATATTAAGCATCTTATGTCTAAGAAGTAACCTAGTCTTTCCCTCTTTAGTAAACCCTTATAGAAGCAGAAATGAGTATGTAGAATACATTGATCAATAGCAACTTGAAGAAAAATGCATTAAAAAATAACCACCCCACGGATTTGCAATATTGCTGTTTTACATAAATAAGTACTTTTGAGACTCATGTTTTGCAACTATTGTAAATTTTGTGTGTGTGTGTGTGTGTGTGTGTTTAATATCAAAGGCATCAAAGGAGAGTGTAAATTGTACTTTAAATGTCAGACTCACCTTAGTGATTTTTAGGAATTTTGAGGGGTCCAGTACCCGACTGTTCTTGGCCCCTTGTACAGTGTTCCACCCACCTTCATCCACTCTCTGGACACCTGCAAGGACAACAGAGTATCAGTCTCTCATCTGTCTCAAGTCAGTTGGACACTGAAAGAGTGAGCAATATTTTCATCAAAACCAAGAAGAAAGACAACAGAAGCTGTTAAAGCATTGATGACAGTATCTTTAATCCCACAGCAGGAAAATACATGCAGAAGCACGGCTTATTTTGGCTCACCCATGAAACATTACCGACCTACAAACAAACAACTGACACAAATGAATATCTGGTACTGGAGAAGGCAGGGCCAAATCCAGTATTCACAGAATTAATGACTAGAACACTTTGGGAGAAGTCAGATGGAAATTATTTATTCTAAAGTATATTGTATTTAATGGGGTCAAATGACAGAAGTATGCTTTGATTATTTCCCAAACCTGCTTCTCCAACATTTCAGCTGCTCAAGTGGAAAACCTTGACTCCTCTTTCACACTTCACATCCAATTTTTGTCAGTAAACCTTGTGAGTTAAACCTACACAATATATTCAGAATCTACTAACAACATTAGCAGTTTTGTTTAAGCCACCAACACCCCTTTCCTAGATTACTGTAGAGACCTGTTTTGGCCTTCCTGCTTCTACCTTCAGCTGTGCTCATCATGGCAGCCAGTGTGACTCTAGTAAAGTACAAGATTCTGCACTTTTTTGTTCAAAACACTTCTGATACCTTTCTATCTCATTCAGAGAAAAAGAGAAGATTCCTTACAAATGGCCTCTAAATAATCTGGCTCCTGTTGCCTCTCAGTCCCCATCTTCTACCACTCTCCACATCAGGCCCTTCTTAGGTTCAGCTGCACTGGCCCCCTTGCTGTTCCTTGAAAATGCTGCTTCAGGGTCTTTGTACTTACTACTCCCTTTGCCTAAGTATCTTTCCCCATATTTCCACATGATTTAACACCCTCACTTGCTTCAGGTCTTTGCTCAAACAATACCAACTTTTATAGTTTCCCCAATTTTCCTATTTAAAACTGCACCCTACTTGCCAAGATTTGCACTCCCTAGTCCCTTCTCCTTTCTTTTTCTACAAATTTATTTGACAAATGATATATTTTCTTTAAGTATTTATTATTTATTGTCTCCTCTCTCCCCTCTACCATAAGATGTAAGCCACATGATGGAAAAGACTTTGTGTGCCTTTTTAAGTGACAGACAATAAATACTTGCTGAATGAATTAATAAATTGAAACATCACCTGTCTATCCAAAAGCTTTTCTGGTCCTAACATACTTCGTGATTTTCTCTGTGCTATCTGATATTACTGATCATAAACAGACTTGCTTCTTCCTTGTTTCTATGACACTTGTATCTTAGTCCTTTCTCTCCACTTGCTCTTATCTGTCACTTTTCCAAGAGTTCTTTTCTTCCTTTAGTCATATGTGAATATCCTCCATGAATTAGGCTTTGATATCTACTCCTTTTCCCTCTCAATCTGGTTCAATGATAAATAAAAGATATTACCCAAAAGGCACTGCACTAGGTACTAGAGTGAGGAAGGTAAGTGTGGTATCTCAAGAAACTTAAAAGTAAATTTTCTTCTCTGCAGAATTCATCTCTCCTAACAATTTCACTATAAGCTCTACTGAGTCTGTGACAACAACTAATGGTTACAAAGTATTTACTATCAGCCAGAAAATTATCATTTCCCTCTGAAAAAGGTTTTCTTTTCCAGTGTTCCTAAAATCAGTAAATGGACTATTGTCTCAGGTTTAAAATGCCTTCTATTTCATCTTTCACTTTTTTTGCATGTCTCTTTCTTTTTATTTATTTGTTAATTTTTTTGAGATGTAGCCTCACTCTGTTCCCCAGGCTGGAGTGCAGTGGTGCAATTGCGGCTCACTGCAACCTCCAACTCCTGGGTTCAAGTGATTCTCCTGCCTCAGACTCCTGAGTATCTGGGACTACAGGCACACATCACTATGTCCAGCAAATTTTTTAGTAGAGATGAGGTTTCACCATGTTGGTCAGGCTGGTCTCAAACTCCTGACCACAAATGATCCACCCACCTCAGGCTCCCGAAGTGCTGGGATTACAGGCATGAGCCACCGTGCACAACCTGCTACAAAGTGCCCCTTTCTTTTTTTTTTGGAGACGGAGTCTCGCTCTGCCGCCCAGGCTGGAGTGCAGTGGCGTGATCTCGGCTCACTACAAGCTCCGCCTCCTGCGTTCATGCCATTCTCCTGCCTCAGCCTCCCGAGTAGCTGAGACTACAGGCACCTGCCACTGTGCCCGGCTAATTTTTTTTGTATTTTTAATAGAGATGGGGTTTCACTGTGTTAGCCAGGATGGTCTCGATCTCCTGACCTTGTGATCCACCCGCCTCGGCCTCCCAAAGTGCTGGGATTACAGGCATGAGCCACCGAACTCGGCCCCCTTTCTTAAATAAAGTTTTCTTTCAGCTTTCTGTCTCTCTTCTTTTCCTCTAAATTTTAACACTTAATGGAGAATACATTTCATAATTGATACTATCTTCCATTTGCTTAACAAATGTTCCTCTTTTGCTTGTCAAAAGTTTCACCTTACCAGATAAACTGTACACTTTGAGAGGGAAGTTACTACATTTTCCACTTCTTTTTCTAGTCTCGCCAATTCTGAGTATACAGAAGATGCTCAATAAAGTCTTACTGCTTACTGGCATTTAAGTAGTGAAAGAAATCATGTTTTGTTCCTGCATTCTCAACTTTTACTCAATAACTTTACTCTTCAGGTGAAACTGCTTCACCTAACAATCACCACTCTATTCTTTGGGCTATTCTTTCTGATCTCATTTTACACCTAAAAATAGATAATTCTTAATATGTATTCGTGAAACTTCCAAGTTCTCTAAACCCTGGTGGATTCCGGCCTCACCTGGTCTTCTCTTCTCTTTGGTCATGAGCTGCTGGACCTTCCTTTGCTCTTCTTGTTCTTCTATTTTAGCTTCTTTGTGAATCTGTTCGATAGTTTTAGGCCCTTGATCTGCTCTTCGAGATACCCAATTGCACTACAAAAGTAGAAAAAAAGGTTATCTGCCAGATAACTGAAAATTTTTTACAATTTAAAAATTTGTAATTTTTACTACTGGAAAAGTACGAAATACCTACAAAAGCTGTATTATGGTAGTTTCTCATGTATCTTATAGATGACACTATGAGCAGTTTAGGATTAGAGCTAAAGAATTAAAATCTTCTCAATCAAACCTGACCAACTGTATAACTACATATTCCAATAGCCAATGCATACAAAGAACAGGGTGAAAGATGGCCCAAATTTATTATTACATTTTTAAGCATGGCATATATTTCTCTGTGGACTAGACAGATTTTATCTGTATCAGTATTTTGTACATTTGAAAGGAGGAGAGAAAAGTAAAAATGACGAGGATTTCTTGGCCTTGCCTTAATCTGTGGGATTACTACTCAGATCATACCAACTCCATAGGGGTTCTAAGTCAAGGATGACTCCTGCTTTTCTTTCTCCAATATCATGATTCTGATATTCTACACAAAGGTCCACACCACTCTGCCCTTTGGTTATCCCCTGTATTAAGGACAAAATAAGTTGTCACTTTATAATTATACTTCTCCCTTCTCTCCCTAATAACAGTCCCAAAATCTGATATAAGTAGAAGTGGCTGATAACATGGGTGGAGACATTTTTTATATTTATTTATATTAGCTAGAGGCAAGAATGGGAAACAGGTTTAAATCAGAATGCAAATTCTGATCAACTGGTGGTGGCTTTCGTAATATGAAGGATCGTAAGATCACATCTAGTCTCAGCAAGATAAAGAATCATCATCAATGCTATCTGGCCTGGGTGGAGGAGAAATAAGAGGTAGGGCTTTGTTCACTTTCTCTAGTGATGTAGTATATTCCCTGTCGGAGTGAAACTTACAAAAGAGTAACTCCCTGTAGGAGTTAAACTTAAAAAAGAGAAAAGTAGTAGTAACAAAAACAGCACCTGGTAAGAGAAATGAGAAAATACAAAACAAAAACAGCAGCAGAATAGCAGGGTCACAGGAAAAACGAAAGAGAAGAAAACACCAATATCTGAGCTGGGCACCTTACATAATTATTCCATTGACTCTTTACAACAAATCTACAAGGCAGGCAACATCCTCATTTTAGAGATTAAAAATGTAAGGCTCAGAGAGTTAAATGTATTTACTGTGGAGATGAGACTTGCTGATTATTTAGCATACAAAGACTAAATTTAATTGAATTTAAATTTGAATGGAGTTTGAATTCAGAATGGCTGATTACAAAATTGCAAGTGGCTGGGCACAGTGGCTCACTCCTGTAATCCCAGCACTTTGGGAGGCTTGAGGTCAGGAGTTCCAGACCAGCCTGGCCAACAGCGTGAAACCCCATCTCTACTAAAATTACAAAAATTGCCCAGGTGTGGGGACATGTGCTGGTAATCCCAGCTACTTGGGAGGCTGAGGCAGTAGAATCACCTGAACCTGGGAGGCAGAGGTTGCAGTGAGCTGAAACTGAGCCACTGCACTCCAGCCTGGGCGACAGAGTGAGACTCTGTCTCAAGAAAAACAAAACAAACAAACAAAAAGAAAAACAAAGCAAAAACAAAATATGGTTTGATAATCCGAGTAAGGAGAAGAAGCACGTAACTGGCAATAGGACTTCTGTCCTTCCTCAGAACTCTCCCACTGAAAGTTTGCCAATTCAAGTTCTGAAAGTCCTGAAGCAAAAGCACTGACTTTACACATGTAAACAACAGGACATCCTTCCCCAGTCCAATTCCTTTAAAGACACTGGACCAGTAAGCTTATTATTTTTTTTCCCCACTCACCAGCCTTAGGTCTATTACATCTTGAAGCATGAACCGAATCCTAGATGAGGTTTTTCTTTCTTTCACAATTTTCTCCATCTGATTAAAGTACTGGTCCATACGTGGCTGCAAGAGACAAAATCATTAGTACTCCTGTCTGAGAAACTTAAATGTAATTTTCCCATGTTACAGTTATTTATTTATGTAGTTATCTATTTATTTTCTTAGAGATGGGGTCTCACTCTGTTGCCCAGGATGGAGTGCAGTGGCACAATCACAGCTCACTGCAGCTTAGACCTCTCAGGCTCAACCGATCCCACCTCAGCCTCTAGAGTAGCTGGGACTACAGGAACATGCCACCATGCCTGGCTAATCTTTTAAGTTTTTGTAGAGATGGGGTCTCATTATGTTGCTCAGGCTGGTCTTGAACTCCTGGGCTTAAGTGATCCTCCAGCCTTGGTCTCTCAAAGTGCTGGAATTTCAGGCATTAGTCACTGCGTCCAGCCCATGTAGTTTTTAAAATGGTCTAGGAATATCAATTTATAGCGAAAATATAATGTGGTAGAATATTTATTTTTATTTTTTTGAGACAGAGTCTTGTTCTGTCACCCAGTTGTGAGTGCAGTGGGTCAATTATGGCTCACTGCAGCCTCAATCTTCTGGGCTTAAGTCATCCTTCTGCCTCAGCTTCCCAAGTAGCTGGGACCACAGGCATATGCCACTACACTTAGCTAAATTTTTCTGTGTGTATGATTTTTTTGAGATATGAAATCTCACTATGTTACCCAGGCTGGTCTCAAACTGCTGAGCTCAAGCAATCCTTCTGCCTCAGCCTCCCAAAGTATTAGGATTATAGGTATGAGTCACTCTGCCTGGCCATGTGGTAGAATTTTTAGTTGTTCATATGACCACCTAAAATAAAGACTACATTTTTCTAGGCTCCTGGCAGCTGGCTTTGGTCATGTGATTAATTACAGGCACTAATATAAATGGAAATGTTATGCTATAGCTTCCTATGGCCTTCCTAAAGAGACCCAATGGGCTAGGCATAGTGACTCATACCTGTAATCCTAGCAATTAGGGAGGCCAAGGCAAGAGGATTGCTTGAAGCCAGGAGTTTAAGACCAGCCTGGGCAACTAAGTGAGACCCCTCATCTCTACAAAAAGTAAAACAAAAAGAAAAAAAATTGGATGACAGGGCAAGACCCTGTTACTTTTTTTTTCTTTTTTTTTTTTGAGAGGGAGTTTCGCTCCTGTTGTCCAGGCTGGAGTGTGATGGCTCACTGCAACCTCCACCTCCCAGGTTCAGGCAATTCTCCTGTCTCAGCCTCCCGAGGAGCTGGGATTACAGGCATGTGCCACCACGCCTGGCTAATTTTGTATTTTTAGTAGAGACGGGATTTCTCTATGTTGGTCAGGCTGGTCACGCACTCCCGACCTCAGGATTTGCCCGCCTCAGCCTCTCAAAGTGCTGGGATTACAAGCGTGAGCCACCGTGCCCGGCCGACTCTGTTACTTAAAAAAAAAAAGTGAGAGAGAGAGAGAGAGACACACACAGAGAGAGGTGGTTGTGTCTTTTGCCCCTTTTCCTACCTTCTCTGGTGAGAGTGATTAGGACAAGGGTTACACTTTAGGAGTCACAGAATGTTAAGCTGAAAGGACTTACCTCTGAACTTTGTTTACATAAGTAAGAAATAAACCTCAATCCTGTATAAACCACTGGGTTTTCTCTCACAGCTAAGCATAATCCTAGCTGAATTAGATGTTATGGAGCATTTCTGACATTATTTCTTTGAAACATTTCTAATTTCTCTAACCCTTAAACAGCACATATTACTATAGTATTTTTAATGATTTCTTATATTATGGTTAGATAGCTGTGTCATCAATTAGAGTATAAACTTTAGAAGCTACTGCTGGGTCTTCATTTCTGCATTACCCTTAGGCCATAGTAGTTTTCCTTTTCGTATTTCTGTTCCCAAATTGTCAAATGGTTACAGAAGAAGAAAAAAGAGTATGAGACAAATAATCTGAAGAATCTACAAACTGGCTTTTACACAATTTGGGACCCTCCTCACCTCTGACTCTAATGGAAATGTAAGGAGCACGATGGTTGAACACTGACAATGAGATGGGCAAACGAAGAAAAATAAACAGCCTAGACCTTTGGGACAAGACAGAACTATTTTGTTTGCAGTCTAAGTTCTTTTGCAACTGACAAGGAGCCTTTGTGAAGGTTTCTGAGCTTCTAGATTTTTACCTTTGCTTTTTCAAAGTCCAGGTCTTTGCCAATGGTGGTGAGCAGGCGACACAGGCACTCCAGGGATTCTTCATCATGGTTCTTTAGCAGCTTCACCACACAGTCATGCATGATGGCTTCAGTCAGCATTTTGAGTTTAAAGAGTTCTCCAATAAACTTGATGTTGCCAATGGATCTCCGCCGGGCTTTGTCCTTGGCTTCTTCCAGTTCATCATGAAGCCTGGTCCTCTCCTCTGGCTGTTGTATAAGGAGGAATAATAGCATCTTGATGATGAAAGCTGTACTGCACAATAAACACTGAGATTCATGGTCTTTACTCTTTCTAGGGGTCAGATGCCCTGGAGAATCTAATAGCAAGTGTGAATCTACTCCTCAGAAAACTGAACTATATCCATCCATTTCAGATTTTTGGAATTCAGTGACCTCACTCAGGCTTAGATTGAATCGCTGGCATGGAAAATTGAGCTGTCCCCTATATTAGACACTAAAAGGAACAAAGCATTCCCCTAAACATTAATATGTTGTTTCAACATGAAAAAGGCAATAGGTCCCTCTTAAGGTAGCAGGGAGATGCTGTATCCAGCTTCCTGAAATTTCTCCTTTACAGTGCTCAAAATGTACAAGCACTGTCTTTCTATGAAAATACTTACAGCACTGGCAGCCTCAAGTTCTTTCTGCTTCTTCTCAAAGACATCATCATCTGCTTTATCTTTTTCAAACTCCTTCTGGCAACGGTTCAGTAGCAGCTTCCGGAAATTCACGGTGTTACCAGGCTTGTCTGCCATGGGTACTTTCAGCTACATCCAGACAGGAAAATAAAGAAAAGCAACAAGATTACTTAAAGACATTACAAATATTTGTTTGCTTTATTGTATGAAATATGCTGACTGAACCACAGGCAAGCATTCTATAAGAGGCAAACAATATAGCTTCAGGCATTTCGTGATTCAATAGTAATATGTTTTAAATTTTATTTAGAAAAGACAGACATTCCTCTCATATAAATGTACTTTTTTTTAGCCATGCTTCTAGCTGACATGGAAATCCTTGTCATATCATTGCAACTATAACCCCGAACTTATCTAGACCTTACTTTAAAAAAAAAAAAACTGTGTAGAGTTATTACTTCTTTTTTTAAGAAGTACCATTGTAGTAAGTATTTTGGTTTAATAGGACACACAGAAATGACATAAGACAAGGGAGAATTTGCTGGCTATCACAAAACTGTTGTAGATGAGATCCTTATTGCATTTATGCAGAAGTTGGGATACTGGGGGATTTTTGATATATCTTTCCATTGGGGAATGTTATAATGTTAGTACTTACCTTGACTATAAATATAGTATGTTTATTACTTATTGCTTATGTGCCATGAGAATATACTAGTTCTCCAAAAGTTTGGAAGCAACATCCTTAAAAGGTTTCCATCCAAATCCAACAATAATTGTTTTCTAATAGTTGTAATAGCTCAAGGTTACTTGTAACCAAACACAGAGACATTCTTATGAACATATTTAGAATATAAAGACAGTAGCCTGCAGCGGGGATTCTACTAAAATATTCTAATGTACAGATGACATCCCTCTGAGCACCATTTTGAACAGCTATTTCATTATATGATACAACAGTTTTTCTGGGATCACAAAGTGGCTTCCAAAGTTCTGGAATGTATGCATGGTCTTTGCCCTATGTATAATGGAAGATCTTTGTGAAAATAGGGTACACTGCATTCATACTCACAAAATAATTAATGTTATCAACCAGAATGAACTTGGTCAGCTGCTGATCAAGGCTGGATGGCTAGAAAAACTTACTGAGAACTGAGGATGATGATGCTATAGAATATCTGTACTAGAACTGATGGCACACTCTCCAATGTATTCCCTATCATGTATGAAAGATCATTTAACAGGTCCAGTTATACTCAACCACGTGTTACATTGCATATTTCCTTTCGGTAGGAAACATTATCTTAGGAAGAGGGGAACATCTTCAGATAATTTTTTAGACAACCAAAGAAAAGGCTACTGTATCCTTAACTCCAAATTTAGGCTACATAAATGCAAGCAACTATAGATCATTTCACAGTCAGGCCTACTCTAAAGTCACACAAGTCAGCCTTCAAGAAAAGAAACGCTACATGAAAGCAAGAGTTTTCCAAAGCAAAAGCCAAAAGTTGATTCTACCTTCTCTTATATAAGACCCAGAATACACAATAATGGACTAAGAAATACAAAAGAGAACCAAGAAGTATATTCAAAAGCAGGGTGGCATACAATAGAGCACCAACATGACATTAAATTTTAGAACTAAAGGTTCCAAAAATCAGCAGTTATATCCAATTTACTGCTTTATAGGAACATAAGTTAAACCAGCCACAAAATCCTAGCCAGCATCTTGGCATATTTACCTCCATCATCAGTATTGACATTAAGTGCATAACTGACTGATAAGAAAATAATAGTCCAGCCCACAATCTATCATCTCTAAAGAGATGTTTCCTACATTACAGATTTACTGTGTAGAAACTGGGAGAAATGAGGACAACAAACAACATGAAAATCTAAGCACTGCCATATGGTGAGAAGTGTAGGGCAGACTATTTTAAAAGAGCTGGGTTAAGGATCAAAAGTTTTGCTTACTTGCTATGTAAACAAAGGCAATTCTTTTAATCCAAGTTTCAGTTTCATCATCTAAAACAAGGGAGGCACAGTCTCTATGTCCAACTGAGAGGGCAGCTTGAGCATTCAGCATAGAAGCACTTTAATAAGCCACAGAAAAGTAAGCTGTAACTGAAATCGAAAGAGTGCTGGAATCTGAGTCACAAAATCAGAAACTGAATCCCAGCTCTTTCATTTAATCTACTACGTGAATTTGAGCAAGTTACCTCATCGAACCTCAGTCCTTACACCTGCAGAATGAGATATTCCAAAATGATTATAGATTAAGGAACATGATAAAACAGCTGTTGAAAAGGGAGCTCTGGACATAGTCACAATCCCAGCTCTGCCATGTAATTTGACTTTGGCCAAATTACTCAGTTTCACCAAACCTCTATTTCAAAAATGGGGTAAAGTATTATATCTATCTCTTAGGAGGTGTTATTGGGAGGATCAAATGAGGTATCTAAGGAAACAAATAGTGGCTGACAAACAGTAAGGGCCCAATAAACAACTAGTATAGCTATATTTAACACCTGAAGCTCCATTTGACAGGCCTATGATTAAACATTAAGAGTAACCTATATCGTAATAACATAGCTATCAAAGAAAGGATAAAGCAAAGTTAGCTCACTAAGCAATAAAGAGGAAATCACAAAATGCAAGAGAAACAAAAGTCTGCTATCCCAAAATGATGGTCAAGAGGAATTTCACATGAATAGGGGCATAAAGAACATGTAATCATGCATAAACTTTTCAGATATATTCACATGGAAGTATTAAAACTGAATAACAAGCAGAATGACTACAGATTTACAAAAATGTATCTCTGAATGAATGAATACCTAGCTACACAGCTCCTTGAAGACTTGTTTTGGAATGTGACCTTAATATCCTCTGGGGATGGTTGACAGGGCTGTAGAAATATGGAAGGGGGCCAGTGAGAACATATCCTCTGAGAATAGTGATTCATGGTGATTTTCTTTCTTTCTTCTTTTGTCCTTAGGAGATGGTAAATTTGATAGGGCTGTAAGTGAGAACTTGTCTGCTGGACACTGGGTGGTCAGGAGACCCACTGAGATTGGTTAGTTGGAACAGAACATGAAGAGTGGATATCTTAATCTGCTTGGGCTGCTATAACAAAATACCATAGACAGGGTGGCTTAAACAATGGAAGTTTATTTCTCATAGTTGTGAAAGCTGAGAAGTTCAAAATCAAGGTACCGGCAGATTAAGTTCTTGGTGAGGACCCTCTTCCTGGCTCTTAAACGGCTGACTTCTCACTGTATCCTTACATGACAGGGAGAGAAACAGCTCAGGTGTTTCCTCTTCTAAGGGCACTAATCCCATTGTGTGGGCTCCACCTTCATGACCTCAACTAAACCTAGTTACCGCCCCCCACCTACCTCCTACACCTCCTAATACAATTATAGTAAGAGGGCTTCAAACTATGATTTTTCAGAGACACAACAGTGGACAAAGGCAGATGCATGCAAATATGATCATGGATAATAGCAAGAATGAAAGGTAGTATGTGACAGTGAGAAAAGGATCTATTTAGACAACTACAATTTTCACTTAACAGTCCACGATCAACACTAAAATGTGTGGGTTTAAATGGGTTGTTTGGGACGGATTTCTTTTTCTCAGGGAGCAAGGGAGTCAGTGAGAATGTTTTAGTAAGGCTGCTTGATAAGCTGAATTCACTAGAAAGCACCTACCTTTTTATTTTTACACAGTAAACTAACAATGTGGCATCAGTGTAATGAGAGCCATTCACACACAGGTCACTCAGCAATCTTAGATATGAATGTTATCAGCATCAGGTAGTAATTTTCTTCAAGTAACGGGGCCTATACTGCTGACATATTTGTTAGTATTGAGGGTGGACATGCTTATCCCCAAAAGGATCAAATTGTAGAGAATCATCAAGGGCTCTCAGCAGTGTGGTAATTATGGAAATCAAACAGAAATGAAAATGGAATAAATCCTGGCCTTGGCTTAGCATGTTCAGGATTTTCAATGCTGTCTCAGAACATAAAGATGTTAATGGTAATCCATGGCCCAGTAGTAATTTTGCCCCCAAATCATGTGCTAGTATGAAGTAAAGTATTTATAATGAATAGTATAATGTAAGCAAGTGACACCTCTGTGCTAGCTCTAAAACTCCGGTTTCTAGAGGATAGTTTACTCTTAAAAAAATTTTTTTTTTGGAGACAGTGTCTCCCTATGTTTCCAAGGCTGGTCTCAAACTCTGGGGCTCAAGTGATCCTCCCACCTGTCTCTTGAGTAGCTGGGATTATAGGCATGTGCCACTACTCCTGGCCAAGGACAGTTTGCTCTTAAATGTGAAGTAAATAGCAATACAGCAATTTTAAAACATTGTTTAATAAACCAACATAACTCTCAGGCCCATGGTGATATACTATTTTCTATCAGTGGTTATATTATGATCTTAGGCAATTTAACCTGCCAAAACTGTACATAATACTCTGCATACTATGAACACATCTATCAAAATGGATCTCTGTTAGATATACCTGAAGAGGTATAGTTTTAGGATAAGCACATGATTCAAAAGGGAGTGGTCAGTTATGAAAGTATAAGTTATCTCTGATCATTTTTTTCTTCAACACATTATAAAATCTTCCATCAGGACAGTTACAAGTCCCTCCTTCTCCAGTTGACCGGCCACTCGCTGTTGCCCACGGCCGACTTGTCATGTCTGCAATTCCAGGCTTTATTTTTTATGAGATTTAACTGCCTCTCTTTTTCTCTCAGTGTCTCTTCCTATTCTCGGTCCCATCATTCTCCTCATGTTTTGCTTTTAAACACTTAAAGTGGCAATACTACAAGCTCTGTACCTGGAATAACAGTACACAGAATGCTTAAAAATCTGCCTTCAGTGCCATTCTTTGTAGCTGAAGTAGGCATGTCTCCCATAGCACAGATAAAACGTAACAAAACTACAGTCTCAGGGCATAAAAGAAACTCTTTCAAGTTGGTTATTCTTTCATTCAGGCATTTACCTACTCATTCACAACTATTACCTGCCAAGAATCATTCTAGGCACTGGGAATTCAGCAGTGAACAAAACAGAAAAAGTCCCTTCTCGTGGAGTTTATATTCTAGAGGGC